CAGTCCTTGACACTCTGCAGCAGGCGCTTCAGGTCCTCCTCAGTTTCAGCAAGGAGGGTTGTGTCATTCGCATAACGCACATTGTTGATAAATTGTCCACCAATCTTGACCCCACATTTCTCCTGTGTTCCTAGAGTTCTGGAAACTCTACCAACTTTGATAAATGTCAACAGTTGTAGAGGAGCTTCAGGCTTGTCCATGGGGTCGCTATTAGTTGTGCTCAACTCGAAGGAAATCAACAACAGCATCGCCAAATAATACAGAAACATTTGATTTTTATAATTCCCTTGTAAATTTTGAATGGTTTTGCTTTTCACGCTTTTTTTAAAAATTTCCACTACTTGGCTATCTTAGAAAAAAATACATCCAGCATGCTTTTTGAAAGACAAGAATAAGTGAACTTTTTCTAATACACTTTGGTCATGTCATATCAGAGGGCACCAATCTTTAGAAAAGGACATCATGCTTGGAAACGTAATGGGTCAGCAAAAGAGAAGAAGACCGTCAACAAGATAGAATGACACAAGGACTGCTACAATGGGAGTGAGCACGGTGGACACTGTGGGGATAGCTCAGGATCGGGCCAGTTTTCAAACTGTTGTTCATTGAGTTAGCGCAGTGTCAGCTAACATTAGAAATGTTGTAGAATTCATACATTAAATTATTTATAATGATCTCTAACTGTGTTTAAAATCTAGTGACATGCATTTTTACATCCCTAATCTTAGTTATGGGGGTTATCTTTCAACTTCACTCTCTCTTCTCGATCAATCTACGATCAGTCTACTTATGGCTCATCAAGTTCATGAACTTTTCAAAGAAGAAAAATTTTAGATTATTTTTTCTACTTTTAGTAGATTTAAAATGTCACTAATTTATGCTTTTCTATTTTCTATTATTCTAGTTTGTTGTGGTCTAGAATTACTACCAGTTCTTTTTATTTTATAGATGAGGATTGGCATCTCCTAAGAAATGTGAAGGAAATGGACAATACTTGTGTAATTTGTAATAGTATTTCCAGCAGGAGCCAAAAGGTGGTTATATCAAAAAGTAGATCCCTCTACGCCCATCACACAAGGCCCTAGGTGGGGCTCTACGATAGCTAAATCTCACAAGATTGACAGCCAAAAAAGACAGTGAGGTTGGCACAGGATAGAGCAGGGTTTAGGGCTCTTGTACATAAGGTCGCTATGAGTCACAAAGGACCCTACGGAATGTAACAACAACAAACCTTTTTCATTTGTTTTGCCAAATTGCCACTGTGTATAAGTTCACTTAACTACTGTCACCTAAACATTCCCTTGTGGAAAATAATAGTGAGTGGTGAAGAGATAAAGAGAACTCTGATTTTAGCATGTTTTATAGCTCCCAACTCACTCCTTCTTCTTGATCAGTCTAATAGTTTACCAAGTTTATGACATTTTCAAAGAAAAAAAAAGTTCATTTCTTTATTCTACTTTTAGTAAATGTAAAATTTCATTGGTTTATGCTTTTGTATTTCCCATGAAGTTACTCTTTACGGTTTTATGATATATATTAACTCATAAATATCACTTTCTTTGGTGGTTTGAATCCACCAACTGTTTTTCTGGCAGAGATGGTTTATCTCCTCCTTTGCAGTTTACAGCCTTGGAAACTGGCTTTGGATCAGCAATAAATCAATTCTTGTAAGCAAAAAGCAATGACGAAGTGATCTTAATAGCATAATCTTTGTGATTATACTTTCCTTACTAACACATTCTCCTTTACATTATCTAATATATTTAAAGCTATAAGTATTTCTTTGAATAGTTTGATTGTTACATTTGCATTATTTTTTGGTCAAATTATTATCTGCTTACTACTTCAATTTCTTTGTTACGCTAAAATGTTTTTCTTTAATTTTCAAATAATTTTGTATAATTAGACAGCTTTTATTATTGATTTCTAATTTAGTTAAACTATAGTTGGCATGCATTCTATATTATCTCACAATCCTCAAACTTTCTGAAATTTACTTCAAAGTCAATGTTGTTATTTTATACCAGTGAGTCAGAACCAATCCATAGCTCATCCTCCAGTGGGATTTGAGAGGTGGTAAAATTGCCTGGCAGTTGATTGCCCATCCTTCTCCCATGGGGCAGTTGGTGGACTTAAACCACATGCCTTTGTGTTAGCAGCATGATTTTTAACCATTAATCCACCAGAACTCGCTTCACAGCCAATACAGCTTATTCTAATATATGTTCCGTTTGCACTTTGTGCAATCTCCTCCCATGCTCTTCACAAACTCCTAAAACCCAGGGAAGGATGAGCTGTGAGTCAGTGCTGACTTGCCAGCAATGAACAGAAACTATTTGCAATGAAAAATAATAAGTATTCATCCATTATTATAGATCTTTAATTGCCAATTATTTTGTTTGTTTAATAGAAATGCAAAGGTTCAAATTTCCATCCTCAATTTTAAAAAATCTCCAAAAAGAAATGTGGTTATTTAATAAAGAAAATATCTTACACAGCTTTTGATGTCATTGTGCAAGCACTGGTTGAACAATGGCAGTTGTCACTATTATCATCAAAACTCAATCCCAGATTAAGGCCAATTAGCTGCACAACAATTACAGCAAATGACTCCAAGGATAAACCATCTAGATACTAAAGAAAAGAAAATAAACAGAAAAAGAATGAGCTAAGAATTATATTCAACTATAAATTTTAAAAAACAATACTGTAATAAAAATTAATATTTAAAACTCAATGTAAGACTTTTTAAACTAATGCAAGATGTCTACGTAGACACAACTATAGTTGAGTTACAAAAAATTTTAATTCTAGACTTTAATTAAACACTGATGAATAAACACAGTATTTTAATTTCATAATAAAAATTAATTAAATGCCAAGACTGGCTAACTTAAAAAAATCTATCCATAGAGTCGTAGGTTCCACCTTGGCATTTCTTGGAATGAGGTAGACCTGTAGAGAGGCCCACATGAGTTAAGTCTGGATATAAATTTTCTGAGATCACTAACCAGTCACTTAGATTATCTTGGAAACAAATCCTCCTCCAGTCAAGACTTCAGGTGACCAAAGTATAAAATGAAACTTTGATGGCAGCCTTGTCTCCTACCCCCACCTCATTATCAGGCGGATGCCTCTTCTATCATCAATATTAACTAGGAGACTGATGACAGTGTTTCCCTAGGAGTTCTAACTCTGTCTGAAAGCATGCCCATGCCATCAAGCTGGGAGTGTGCAGGGTTCTACATTCAAAGCTTTCCTCAGAGCACTTGTGGACTATGACACCCGTGGCTTGCTTTCCACCTTCCAGTGTGTGAGGACACCACACCACCTCTGACTGGAGCTTTTCCTTCTCACTGAGCATCTTTTCCCAGCATACTCCACAGACACATTTGGAGCAGTTCAAACCTTGCAGAGTGCACCATTCTGGGCATTTTAGGTCGGCAGTGATTATTTCTTCAGGTTAGCCATCTCTGACTGGATAGATTGTCTGCCCTTATTCCCTAGATTGGCAGAAACACCATCTCTTACCAGGTGGAATAGCCTAGGCTCTTCTGAGGCCAGCAGAAACTCTGCCCCAGTTATGTGTCCCAAGCCCTCAAAGGCTCCTAGACCAGAAAAGGTGTAATGTGTGACGCAGCGTGAGGCTAAGCCACCACTCAGATGAGCAGAATCTCTGTGCTGACTGGGCATCCCAACTCCAATCTTCTGCTGAGTGGCAGATACAATGTTCTATCTTGACACCTCCAGCCCAAAGCTCTTTGAATATTTGCTCATTCATTTTACAGTTTGCTCTTGTAAGTTTTTTTCTTCCACTTTTCTTTTTGCCTTTCTATTCTGATTCTCTTTCTTTCTTTTTTATCATCTCAAATTTCAGTTTTCTGCATTTTTTAAACTGGTCAATGTTGTCGTTTTTGTTGTTAGTTTGAGTTTTGTTTTTATTTTTCTTCTGTGGTTTGGTTTTGTGTTGCTTCCTTATCTCTGTCCCATTTGACCACAGATAGTAGCAGGACCTAGCCACGCAGACACCTCCTGTAGCTTCACCCATTAAGCAGGACCAAAGGCTGGCTCCTGCTCACTTGATCAAGAAAAGACTGCAACACGCCGACCCATGCTTCCCGGAACAGCTCTACACAAATATTGGACAGAAACCTGTACACACATCACCATCCTCTATCACACCTACCAGAAGACAAGAGGTGAAACACTAATATTACCAAACGAGCAAGCAACACAACACACAGTTCAATCAGTCATGCTGAAGACTGTAAAGACAATACTACAATGTAGAGTAGGCAGCAGACAAGTTCAAACAAGGCAAAACCAACAAGACAATGATGGAACCAGAAAAAGGATCAAAGCACAGAACCAGCAATGACACACATACACACAGAAATGACTAACCCAATGAGCCCTGGTGGTACAGTAGTTAAGCACTGGACTGCTTACTAAACATTGACTGCTTGAATCCATCCAGTCATCTGTGGTAGAAAAACCTGGGATTCTGCTCCTATAAAGATTACAGGCAAGAAAACCATAAGAGCCATTTTGACACTGCTCTCTAAATACTACATGTGACCTCTCTCTCCCTTTCTCTCTTTCTCTCCCTTCCTCTCTGTCTCCACTTCTATCTCTTTCTAATATACCCACACTTATAGGTACACACAATCACACACATACAATGCCCTCAAGTCAGATTCAATCTATAAGCAACCCTCCAGGGGGTTTTCAAGTCAGATCTAACTCATCTTTTCCTTCTTGTGGGTTTTCTGAGTCTGTAAATCACATGAGTGGAGACTGCTCACCTTTCTCTCGTGGAGCTGCTGGTAGAGTCAAACTGCCAGAGTTGTGCAACTTTGGAGTAGCAGCATAACCCCCTGCAGAATATGCCACTAGAGTTCTCTATATCCAACTGTTGCTGTTGTTATTGTAGTTATGGTAAGGTGCTGTTGTGTCCAATATGACTCATAGTGACCTTCTGAATAGTCAACCTGAAAGTTACCCTATCCTGTTCCATCCTCATCATCTAGAACCCATTGCTATAGTCATAGTGTCAATTCTTCTTCTTGGGGGTCATCCTCTACTTCGCTGAACCTCCGTATTTCCAAACATGATGTCCAAGGAACAGCCTTGACTAGCTACAGGTTGTTGTTGTTGTTGTTATGTGCCATCGAATCACTTGCGACTCATAGCAACCCTATGTAAAACAGCCCTAAACCCTGCTCTATCCTGTGCCAATCTCACTGCCTCTGACACACCCATCCCAATTACCCCAATCACTGAATCAATCCACCTCACAGAGGGTCTTCCCCTTCTGCGTCGTCCCTCCACCCTCCCAAGAATGATGTCCCTCTCCAAGGACCTCTCCCTCCTTACAACACGTCCAAAGTATGTCAGATGAAGCCTCAGAATCCTTGCCTCTAAGGAGCAGCCTGGTTTAACCCTCTCCAGGATGAATTTGTTTGTTTTCTTGGCAGTCCAGGGTACATTCAATACTCTTCTCCAGCACCACAACTCAAAGGCATCAATTCTCCTTCTATCCTCCTTAGTTATTGTCCAACTCTCTGATGCATAGCAAGTGATTGCAAAGACCATAGCCTCTATCAGACACACCTTAGTCTCCAGAGTGACACCATTGCTCTTCAGTACCCTGGAGAGGTCCCTAATAGCAGACTTTCCCTTTGCAATACGTTTTTTTATTTCCTGGCTACTGGTGCCAAAAGTGTTGACCGTGGAGTCAAGCAGACTAAAGTTGTTAACAATCTCAATCTCTTCACCATCCATCCCGATACTGCCAATTGGTCCAGTGGTGAGAATCTTTGTCTTTTTTACTTTGAGCCTCAATCCATACTGAAGGCTGCAGTCCTTGCTCCTCTGCAGCAAACATTTCAGGTCCTCCTCAGTTTCATCAAGCAGGGTTGTGTCATCTGCATAACACAGATTGTTACTAGACCTTCCACCAATCCTGATGCCACACTTCTCCTCATAGAGCCCAGCCTCTCGGATAATTTGTTCTGCATACAGGTTGAAAAGGTATGGAGATAGGACACATCCCTGCCCTTTCCCAATTCTGAACTATGTAGTGTTTCCTTGCTCTGTTCTGATGACTGCCTCCTGGTCCAAGTATAGGTTTCGCATTAGAACAATCAAGTGTTCTGGGATTCCCATTCTACTCAGAGTCAGCCACAGTTTGTTATGATCTACAGAGTCAAACGCCTTCGCATAATCAATGAAACACAGATATACATTCTTCTGGTATTCCCTGCCTTCAACTAAGATCCATCTAACGTCAGCTACAACATCCCTAGTACCACGACCCCTTCTAAACCCAGTCTGAACTTCTGGCAGTTCTCTACTGATGTGCTACAGGTACAAAATATAAAATGTGAAGCTTCCTCATCTTTGCCTCCAAGGAGCACTCCGGCTGCGCCCTTTCCAGGGCATATCTGTTTGGTTTTTTTGGAAGTCCATGGGATATTCACTACTCTTCTCCAGAACCACAAATCAAAGACATCAATTCTTCTGTCATCCTTATTCATTGTCGAGCTCTCTGATGTGTATCATGTGACTGAGAAGACCACAACTTGAAACAAGTGCACCTTAGACTTCGAACTGGCATCATTGCTCTTCAGCATTTTGGAGAGGTCCCTAACATCAGACTTACTCAGTGTAATACCGCTCCTGATTTCCTGACTGCTGGTTCCAGAATGTTGATGCAAGTGAGATGAAATCATTAACAGCTTCACTTTTACCCTCCATCTATCATAATGTTGACTAACAAGTCCTGTGGTAAGGATCTTTGTCTACTCAATGTTGAAAAGTAATCCATACCAAAAGCTGTACTCATTGATCTTCTGCACGGGCATTTCATATCTTTCTCACTTTTAGAAAGCAAATTTCTGTCATCAGCATAACACAGGTTGTTGCCACACTCACATTCATAGAATCCAGATTTGTGAATTAGTTGTTCAGAACACAGATTGAGTAGTATGGAGGAAGGATGCAACCCTGACACGCATCCTTCCTGATCTTAACTATGCAGTGTCCCTTTCTCTGTTCACATAACAGCTTCATGTTCTAGGTATAGATTCTGTATGAGCACAATTAAGAGTCCTGAGAATTCCATTCTTCTCAAATATGAACAATAATTGTTATGATCTCCATAGTCAAATACCTTTGCATAGTCAATAAAACACAAATATACATTCATCTGGTATTATCTCCTTTCAGCCAGATCCACCTGATATCACTAATGATACCCTGAGTGTCATGGCTTCTTCTAAAACCAGCTTGTACTTCTGGCAGTTTCCTATCACTGTACTATTCTAGCTCCTTTTGAATGAACATCAACAATATTTTGCTTCCATTGGCTCTTGTTTAAACGGTACTTCCTGAAATTTTCTGTGTCAACCAATCCTTTTTGGTACAGTGATTCTGAGTATTTCTTCCATCTTCTTTTGATGCTTTCTGTATCATTCAAGACTGTGCCATAGCATCTTTCAGTATTGAAAGTCAAGGCTTGAATTTGTTTTTCAGTACTTTCCGCTTCAGAAATGCTGAGTGAATTCTTTCCTTTTTATTTTCTGACTGCAGCTATTTGCACATTTCATTGTAGTATATTACAATATCCTCTCAAACTGCCCTCTGAAATCTTCTGTTCAGCTTTTTACTTTGGCATTTATTCCTTTTGTTTTGGCTTTTTGACACTCCAATGCAATCTTCATGGTCTCTTCTCACATTCACTTTGGTTTTTCTTCTTCCTCTTTCTTTGTAATGATCTTTTGCTCTCTTCATGAATAGTAACTGTGATACTCTCCCACACTTCTTCTGTTCTTTGATCACTGGTGTTCAGTGCCTCAAACCTGTCCTTGAGAGGACTCTTAAATTCACCTGGGATGAACTCAAAGTCATATTTGGCCTTCTGTGGAGTATTTTTCATTTTCTTCAGTTTCAATTTAAACTTGTACATGAGTAATTGATAGTCTATTCTATAATCAGCACCCAGTCTGGTTTTGACTGTAGATGTTGCACTTTTTCAAAGATTGTTTCCACAAATATAGTTGATCTGATTTCTATATAGTCAATCAGGTGAGGTCCAAGTGTATTGTAGGTCCATTATAATTTGGAATTGAGTCACTGACACACCATAAGGCATTACAAACAAACAAGCAACCCAAAAATACAGACCTATTGCTTGGAATTAGTAGAAGATGGATTAGAACCATTCAACAGGATTTCAAAGGGTAAAATGTGTGTGTGTGTGAGAGAGAGAGATATTTTAACAAAAGTGTATAGGAAAGTTGGTTTTCTTGCACTTTTTCCTCCCTCCTCCTCACTTTTCCCTTCATCCAATCTGCTTTTCAATACACCTCTTATTTCAGATTGTTGTCACACATCTAATGCCTAATCATATATTCCTTTCAAACAGTTCTTTGTCTCATCTGTTCCAATGCAGTGTTCATTTATCTAGCCACTTTTTTCCTACTCTCTTACCAATCCCTCATGTCAGTCCTATTCATTAACAGCAGTGTTAAAGTAGTATTGTTTTTTTGTAACTGAGATATTTCACTCAAAATATAATGTCTTCCAGGATCATTTATGTTGTGTAATGTTTTATGAGATCATTGTTTTTTAGTGCTGCATAGTATTCCATTGTGGAATGTACCACCATTTTTCTAAACATTCATTTGTTTATGGACACTTGAGCTGCTTCTATCTCTTTGATATTGTGAATAATGCATCAAAACCATAGATGTGCACACCTCTGTTTGAGTAAGACACTAGTTTCATTAGGGTATATTCCCCACAGTGGAATTGTTGCATCAAATGGTATTTCTATTCCCAACTTTTTGAGAAAGCTCTAGACTGCCTTCCATAGTGATTGTACCATTTAACATTCCCACCAGCAGTGAATAAGAGGTCCAATCTCTCCACCACCTTACCAGAATTTTTTGTTTGCTCTTGTTATTTTGCTATACTTGCTAGGGTGGCCCATTTGAAAGAACCTTTGTTTTGGGCCTCAATCTATATTGAAGGCTACAGTCCTTGACCTTCTGCAGCAAGTGCTCCAGGTCCTCCTCAGTTTCAGTAAGCAGGGTTGTGTCATCTGCATAACACAGATAGTTGATGAATCTTCCACCAGTCCTGATACCACATTTCTCCTCATAGAGCTCAGCCTTCCAGATAATCTGTTCTGCACAGAGGTTGAAAAGGTATGAAGATAGGAAATCTCCCTTATGTACACCCTTCCCAGTTTTGAACCATGCAGTGTTTCCTTGCTCTCTTCTGACGATTGCCTCCAGGTTTTGCATTAGCACTAGCAAGTGTCCTGGGATTCCAATTCTTCTCAGAGTTATGCAGTTTGTTGTGATCTGTAGTCAAATGCCTTTGCATAATCAATTAAACACAGACATTCCTCTGGTACTTTCTCCTTTCAGCCAAGATCCATCTAACAGTAGCTACAATATTCCTAGTACCACGACCCCTTCTAAACCTAGCCTGAACTTCTGGCAGTTCTCTGTTAATGTGCTGTTCCAGCCTATTTTGGATAATCTTCAGCAGAATCTTGCTTGCATGCAATATCAATGATATTGTTCCATAATTTCCACATTCTGTTGGGTAACCTTTCTTTGGATCTTTGGAATGCGAACAAATATAGATGTATATATTGAAAAAATCAATTAAGAGCTCTTCTTCACTCCATACATAAAAATAATAAATGGGTGGTAGATTTAAGTGTAAAGGATAAAATCAACAAAGTATCCAGAATATAGACAAGGAAAATGCACTGTAACTCAAGAAGCTATTTTTAAAAAGTAGAGGTGCAGTACTAATTATAAGAACAATAACAGTTTCCATAAAGTATATAAGAATATCCTGAACAATGAGAGAGAGATTGGGAATGAGAGTATTTTGTCTGAGTGACACTCAGTTTTTGTTTTGTTTCCAGTTTTTGTTTGTGAAAATATTTAAAAATATTTATCAGTAAATCAGGTTATTTTCACAGTAAATTTGAATTCAAAAAAATTTGCCTTTCATAAGAAAAGCAATGATTTTTTTTATAATTTGTACATGAGTACATAAATCTAAAGTCTAATCATTTGAGGTACACTTAAATCACTGACTGATAATTTAAGAGACATTATTTCCAAGTAGAACACTATTTCCAAGTAGTTTTAATATTCTTCCCTTTCAATATAAACTAAGGGTAGTAGCAAATACATTAGCATAAAATAATACATGATGCTAGTTTCATGTTTCAAAGTAGTAATATAAATAATATAAATATTGTAAAAAGAACACTAAATTTTGTAGTATATTTATCTACATTTTAAAAAATGTATTTTTAATGGTTAAAAACTAATGCACATTTAAAATGCAAACATTGTAAAAGCAAACAATAAAAATTACATACCAAAACAACTCCTTTGGCATAAATTTCGCTACAAAATTTTCCAGGATATATGCTTCCTACAGAAATAGGATTCTTCCTAAAGCTAGAAAAGAAAATAATTTTCCTTATCAGTGTAGGTTAGAATGGTATCATAAACAATAATTTTCACTAACAGCAATTATTGAACAACTGTTGTTGTATACCATCAAATTGGAATGGACTCATAGTTGACCCTCCAGTGAGTTTTCAGAGACCGTAAGTCTCATGGGAGGAGACTGCCCATATTTCTCCCAATGAACACTTAATGGTTTCAAACTGCATGGCTTTGGGTTGGCAGCACAGCTTCTTACTGTTAGGACAACAGTGTTCATTAACAGAAAGCATTTATTGAACAATTATCATTTTATAATCTTACAATTTACCTCTTTGAAAATCCAAGAGAGGGTCAGCTATGAGTAAATTTCAACTTGGTGGATTTTGAGAAGCACTATGCTACTGTGAATCAATCTATATAAGTTTTATTGTACTGAAAGTTTTAATGTTAAGAATATTTCAATAACCAATAGTCAATTGAACTGTAAATTTTATAAACATTAAGAAATGTAATCAGGATAAAACTAAGCAGTTTATTCAAAAGATCACTACACTTATTGCACTGATTGTCATTCTGGTTCTCTGTTCACAGCCCTGTGGATCACTTCTTTATTCTGCACTAAAAATTGATTTTTCTGTGCATCAGCTTTTACTATGATTATTCAGTATGCTAATTTTACTAGAAACGAAAAATAGCAATTTGATGAAAGAATGTACAAAAAGGGTAACAGATATCAATTGTTTATAAGTTAAGAAAAAAAAATTCTACCACTCACAACTAAATTTCCTTGGTTATTTTACTACTTTTTCTGAAATTTTATTTAGTTTCAATTTTTAATTCTTTTTTAATTTTTTTATTTTAATCAAAGTTTATAGAGACTTTGGATTTCCATTCATTCATTGTGTTTCCCCCCAACCCTGATGTCAGTGCCACTTTACAACAGTGGCACTATGCACTATTTGTCCGCTGGTGACTGAGATATTTCACTCAGCATAATGTCCTCCAGGGTCACCCATTTTGTATAATGTTTCATGAGTTCTTTGTTTTTCCATGCAGCATACTATTCCATTGTGTGATTATACCACAGCTTCTCTATCCATTCATTTGTTGATGGGCACTTGGGTTGTTTCCGACTCTTTGCTATTGTGAACAAACTGCAATAAACATGAATGAGCATATATCTGCTTGGGTGGCAGTTCTGGATTCTTTAGGGTCTATTCTAGTAGTGGAATTGCTGGGTCAAACGGTATTTCTATTTCAAACTTTTTGAGAAAGCGCCATACAGACTTCCATAGTGGTTGCACCATCTTACACTCCCACCAGCAGTGAATAAGGTTTCCAGTTTCTCTGCAATCTTGCCAGCATTTGTTGGTTGTTTTGTTAAATTTTGTTATTCTTACTGAGGTGAAATGATATCTCATAGTTGTTGTGATTTGCATCTCTCTTAGAGCTAGGGATTTTGAACATTTCTTCATGAGCTTGTTGTCCATCTGAATGTCTTCTTTGATGAAGTGTGTTCATATCCTGTGCCCATTTTTCAACTGGGTTGTGTACATTTATCTTGTTGTGGTGCTTAACTTTGTAACTCTTGCCTCACATTAACTCCTAAAGAACAGAATATCTCATTGTGTCCACCAAATTGGTAGAACAGCATATGTGTCAAACAAATGGTAGGGTTTTGGGGATTTTTTATAGTTTTTTTTCATTTTAAATGTGATTGTAATCAAAGTTTACAGAAAAGTTATATTTTCATTCATTTATTGTTGCACATTTTATCCTTTCTCCTTTCCTTCCCCATTCCTCAGTTCATTTTTTTCCAATATTCATTCATTATTGCAGTAAAATTTTGTTTTAAATAATAAATATACTAAGTCATTTGGGATTATTATACAAGTACAGAAAGCTATACTTACGCAAATAAGTATGTAATACGATGGGGTAAGAGTAAATAAGGTTTTGGATCCCAGTCTAACAACCTATATAATATACGATCAGGATGTCCCGTAGTAGAAATTTTGTTTTCATCAGACCAAATTTCAATGGAAGGTATTACAACAGTGAGTTTTAACTGGTATAGCATCTGGGGGGGGGAAGAAATTTTTCAATAAATATGAACAAAATATTAAACTGTTATAAAATTATATCTAATGTATTTAATTTGGGACTCAGATTATAAAAACTCAGCAAAATACCATACATATAATTTCATATTAAAGGTATTTAATAAAAATAAACAACTTACAGCGTTAACAAGGCCAATAATCAGAATCACCTTCTGTGTTACAATCTGAAAGTCAGAGCCCATGTATTCAAACTGGAAGAAAAAGAATTTTTTTTCTTTTTAAAACAACTAGAAGAATATGCTGTGATTGTTAAGTACAAGCAAGTTTTAGCAGACTCATAGTTGATTGACCATCCAGAAAGTTTTCAGAGACATGGGAGGAGATTGCACATCTTTCTCTTTTGGAACAGCTGGTTATTCAAACCACGTGCCTTTGGGTTGGCAGTGCAATTTCTAACCACTAAGACACAATTAGAGGGAACTCTCGTGGCTTAGAGGCAAGGAGAAATGAAAAAAAAAATCAGAACAAAACTAAATAGCAATGGTAAGACCAAGCATGGGACACTTTGCTTCTTTCTCAGTTTTTAAAGGAAACTTCCAAATGCTTCAACACTAGGTAGTTTGCATTTTAAGATAAAGGCTGTAGAGCGTTGGGAAGAATATCTACTTACTAAAACTTTTATAAAAACTGAGATTAATTTTTGTCAAGTGCTTTTTTGAAACACAGCAAAATGCTAACGATTTTGGTCTTTCATGCAAACAATGACATGCATTTTATGAACATATTACTTAATATTATGTTATTTTTATAATCATGAGAAGAAAACATAAGTTAACTTTTTGTTCTTTGCTTGAAAGGATGGCAATATATGTTTTCCAATTCATCATTCAATGAAGCTGAGAATGAGTTAATAATTATTATTTCATTCATTTGCTTGACAGAGAGGTTGGATTTAGAGGATTTATAATTCATTTATAATTCATCCTGCCACTGTATCTGGTCCTTCAGTTATGAAATTAAATAAATAATTCACTTTATGATAGCTACGAGAGATCCTGTACAAGAAATAAATAAAATTAACAAAATCATTTACAAATAACAGTGTATAAGAGAGAACTTACCAAATATTTATCCACAATAATATGCATTTCAAAGTATTGAGGTACTAACTTGAACAATTCAATTCTCTGCAAAATACACAGCACAAGTCCTGAGAATTTCCAGAAAATCATCTTCTATTGAAATCATATTCAGAAATAAGCATGTGTTCCTACTAATTATAATGCAAGGTTATTTTAAAATACAAAATAAAGGCACTATATAAAAGACTAGTTGAGAAACACACCTTGTTAGTAAAAATTTTCAATGAGACTTCTCAATCTATATTATAACCTATCACTGGAGGTTAATAATAGCCCAAACTGAAAATAGTAAGTTATAAATGAAGGTTTTATTTTTCTTGCTTCATTTCACTAATAATTCTAATCTTCTGTGTGGGTGGATTTTTTGCTGCTAGTTGCTAGTACAAAGATACTTTAGGCAAACAAGGTAACATAGAAAAATACTTTCAACGTTTACATTCAACAACCATTCAATAGTGTGAGTTGTATTATTTATGACTGTTTGCAGGACAAAGGGGAAAGAATTCATCACATTGCCTTACATAAAAATTTCATATAAACCACTTACATCATGCATTTTGGAACTCTTAAAACACAATCTTAATTGAGAAAGTCAAATCACATATTTTCACCTAAATATATCCAAACCACACATTTAAAATTTGTTAGCTTTTTTAATCCTATGTTCATTAATATATTGTTTCCAGTATTAATTACCTTAATGTCTTAAAGACTTTCGTGAAATGACAAATTTTATGAAGAACTCAAATTTATTCCCTAACTTTCTAAAGAGTTAAGCAGGAACTTCGTGAGGAAGAAAAAATAAAATTCCGATTACTCTGAATGTATTTCTCATCTCACAAAGTTGTAGTAAATAAATTCCAATGTAATAAATCAAACTTAAAACGATAGGACTTACTTTTAGAATTTTTCTGCTTTCACTGTATAAAATATCAGATGAAATAAGAGTCTCATTTAATCTTAAGGAAGGAATATTAATGTTATCATTTTTATCTTCGTAAATCACATGCAAAAATCCTGATATGCCTTCCATTGGTTCAATTCCATATGAGAAGTTTTTAAACTGCAATATTCCCCTAAATATCAAAATAGTTAAAACAAACCTGAAATAATTCAATTAAAACCATCATTTAATATTCTAATGAAAAACTGTGGTACAAATAATTTTTTTAAAGATACCTTGATTATTCTGCCTTATCTCTGTCATGCTAAATTTAACACTATACCACAAGATGCCTCTATTGACTTATATTACAACTATTCTTGCTTGTCTTATAAAAAGCTTGATAGTGATAGGTTTAAATAGGTAAGATCCCTTTTGAATATGTAGATTTTGGCTTATACCTGTAGCTCAATTCCTTTGGTCTCCTTCTTCTCTTTGAAAAGTGACACTCTTCTACTATTTACATTAAATATAAGTAATTTATTCATGTGGGCTGAATTGAGGCTAACTATATTCCCTTTTGGGTGGCCTATAATGGTGTTCTAGTCTTGTTTTGGTTGAGGGTCCGTGTGCAAAGTTTATTTTGTTTTTTGTTTTGTTTTGTTTTTATTATTTAAGTCTCTTATTTAGAGTCAACACCACATCAAGCAGGGAATTTGTAGCTAAAATTCAGTTTGGCCCTGACAGCCCTCGGACCCATAATTTTGAGGAATATTCTTCTGATGGTACAACACTTGTCTGTCAATTTACTGTACTGAGATAACCTGGGGTTGCTGTAATACTGAACCCTGTGCCATTGGAGTGTCAAATGCCATAATAATTACTCATGGTGGATAGTATTTGGTGGAGCTCCAAGATTAAGACAGGTTTAGAAGCAGGAGTGGCATCCACTTCCTAAACACCATGACTCTGAAAACTCTATGAACTTAGAGAAGTAAAAATAGTTATAGAAAGGACTCAGATCTTTTGTTCTTAGGGTCATTATGAGTCATGCTTGTCTTGAAACCAATTAACAACAGTATAAGCAGTGTCACTGTTAACCCAAAATGTATGGGTTTAAAACCACCAGTTGCTCTGTGGAGAAAGATGGATAATCTCCTCCCATAATTTATGTTGTTGTTGTTATGTGCCATCGAGTCGCTTGCTACCCATAGCAAACCTATATACAAGAGCCCTAAACCCTGCTCTATCTTGTGCCAATCACACTGCCCCGATTACACCCATTCTGGTTACCCCAGTCACGGAATCATTCTACCTCATAGAGGGCCTTCCCCTCCTGAGCTATCCCTCCACACTCCCAAACATGGTGTCCCTCTCCAAGCACCAGTCCCTCCTTACAACATGTCCAAAGTATGTCAGATGAACCCTCAGAACCCTTGCCTTTGAGTAGCTGCACAGTTTAACCCTCTCCAGGTTGAATCTGTTTGTTTTCTTAGTAGTCCATGGTACACCCAATACTCTTCTTCAGCACCACAGCTCAAAGGCATCAATTCTCCTTCTATTCTCCCTAGACATTGTCCAACTCTCTGGCGCATAAGAAGTGATTGCAAGGACAACGCACCTTAGTCTCCAGAGATACACCATTGCTCTTCAGTACTTTGGAGAGGTCCCTGACAGCACATTTTCCCATTGCAATATGTCTTTTAATGTCATGGCTGCTGGTTCCAAGAATGTTGACTGTGGAGCCAAGCAAATTAAAGCTGTGAACAATCTCAATCTCTTCACCATCCATCCTGATGCTGCTAATTGGTCCAGTGGTGAGACTCTTTATCTTCTTGATATTGCTCCTCAATCAATATTGAAGGCTGCAGTCCTTGAGCCTCTACAGCAAACGCTTCAGGTCCTCCTCAGTTTTCACCAAGCATAGTTGTGTCATCTGCATAACACAGATTGTTGACAGATCTTCCATCAATCCTGATGCCACATTTCTCCTCATAGAGCCCAGCCTCCAGGATCATCTGCTCTGCATACAGGTTGAAAAGTTATGGAGACAGGACACATCCCTGGCATACACCCTTCGCAATTCTGCACCATGCACCAAGTATAGGTTTCACAAGTGTTCTGGGATTCCCATTCTTTCCAGAGTCAGCCACAGTTTGTTATGATCCACATAGTCAAACACCGTTGCATAATTACTGAAACACAGATAGACATTCCTCTGGTATTACCTTCTTTCAGCTAAGATCCATCTAACATTAGCTACAATATCTCTTGCACCACCACCCCTTTTAAACCCAGCCTGGACTTCTGGCAGTTCTCTGCTGATTTGCTGTTCCAGTTGTTTTTGGATAATCCTTAGTAGAATCTTGCTTGCATGTGAAATCAATGATACTGTTCTATAGTTTCCATACTCTGTTGAATCACCCTTCTTTAGAATGGGAATAAATATAGATCTCTTCTAGTGGTTGTTCTCCAGATTTCTTGACACAACTTGGTGAGCACATCCAGGGCAACATCTGTTAGCTGAAATACATCAACTGGTATACCATATATTCCTGGGGACTTATTTTTTATATTTCCTTCAAAGCAGCTTGAACTTCTTCCTTCATTACCACAGGCTTTTGCTTATATGCTATGGGTGTCTGCCAGTTTCTTTCAATACAGTGACTTAGTATATTCTTTCCCTCTTCTTTTAATACTTCCGTGACTATAGCAACTTGAGGTTTGAATTTGTACTTCAGTTCCTTGAGCTTAATAAATGGTGAACAAGCTTGGCCCTTTTGATTTTCGACTCCAGCTCCTTGGACATTTCATTGTAGTATTTTGCTTTGTCATTCCGTGCTGCCTTTTGGAATCTTCTATTCAGCTCTTTAGTATAGTATCTTGAATTCTTCCTTCTGTTCTGGCTTCTCTGCACTCCAGTGCAATATTCAGGGTTTCTTTTGACATCCATTTTGGTCTTCTGTTCTCTCTTCTGTATTTGTAATGACTGTTCACACTCTTCCTGCATGATACCCTTGATATCCTCCCACAACCCATTTGGTCTTCTCTCATTAGTGTTCAAGGCCTCAAATCTATTCCTGAGATGGTTCTGAAATTCAGGTGGAACAAACTCAAAGTCATATTTTGGTTCCCATGGATTCAGTTTCATTTTCCTCAGCTTCAGCTTGAAGTTGCATATGAGTAGTTTGTGGTCTGTTGTTCCTCAATCAGCTCCTGGGCCTTAATTCACAGCTGATATTGAGCATCTCCAGTAATTCTTTCTACAGACATAACTAATCTGATTGCTATGCATACCATCCTGTGAAATCCATGAGTATAACCTGCATTTATGTCTCTTAAAAAATATATTTGCAATGAATAAGTCATTGATTATACAAAATCTAGTTATTCTATCTCCAGCTTCATTTCTGTCATCAAGTCCATGTTTTCCAGCTACTGATTCTTTTTCTCTGTTCCCAACTGTTGCATTTCAGTCACCCATTATTATCAATGCACCTTGATTGAATGTTCGATCAATCTCCTACTGTAAAAGTTGGTAGAAATCATCTATATCCTCTTCTTTGGCTCTGGTTGTTGGTGCATAAATCTGAATGATATTGGTACTCATTGTACTTCCTTGTATGCATATGGATATTATCCTGTCACTCACAATATTGTACTTCAAGATGGATCTAGAAATGACTTTTTTACCATGAAAGCAACCCCATTGTTTCTCACATGAAAACATCTCCAGAGTAATATATTATATGATCATCTGACTCAAAATGTTCTATGCTTATCCATCTCATCTCACCAATGCCTAGAAGGTCAATATTTATGTGTTCCATTTCTTTCTTAACAATATCTAATTTTCCTACATTCATGGTTCTCACATTCCATGTTCCAATCACTAGTGTCTGCTTACAACTGTTCCTCTTCCTTTGTATTTCCATACTTGAAAGCTCTACCTCAGTTGCCCTTTCTGTTAGTATATGTGTGTTCTGTTGTACTATTTAGGGTTTTCAGAGGCCTGCTATTTTGGAATTGCATGGCCAATCCTTCTTCCTAGTCTGTCTTAACCGGAATGTTCAGATTTAGAGATGTATCTGACAGAGAAGCATTTTACAGAAAAGTGAAAGACATATCCCTTATTGTGGCATTAACCATTAGTTACAGTGTTGTCCCTGCCCTTGACCCAGTGTCTTGACCCACTTATTTCCTAGCTCCACCCTCCACCAGAATACCCCTCCACTTCTAACCACTCCCCTCGTCATTTATCTTCCATTGTCTAACCCTTGGTCTTGTAGCTTGTATCTGAAGCTTCCATGGCGTCTGTGATTCCAAACACATCAGCTGCTGACAATTCCTTATGCTGTGATGAGTGTCACTTAAGTTTAGTGGTAATGTTCCAGAAGCAAACCTCCTGGAGGATCAGCTTAAGTTGGTCCTGACATGACAACATATAACAACAACATAAGTCCTTAAAATCCTAAGCACAAAGGCAAAGTACCAATCAGACTCAAGAAGTATGGCATTGCCAGAGTCAAATCAGGAAATCAAGAAATTGAACAAAAATGAAAGAGCCTTATAAAATGATACAAGTATGGAGTGATCAAAAACACACCATCAATCGACAACTGCTCAAAGCCTCAAGGAGCAGGTTCTGTCAGTGCAAACAAATACCTCCCACCAGAAAAATATACTGTGAGGGTCATCAAACTGACAATGACTCATAGTGAATCCATGAACCTTGACCTAGCTTGTTCCAATCTCTGATATGGTGAAGCCCACTGTTATAATCATTATATCAACCCGTTTCATGAGGATTTTCATTTCTTTCTTTGACTGTCCACCTTTCCCAGAATGATGTCTTTTTTTCTAAGGACTGGCCCCTTCTGACAGCATACCCAAAGTATATCAATCAAAGCTCTAAAGAGCACTGTGGTTGCACTTCCTCCAAAACAGGTTTGATGTTTTGGCAGTCCATGAGCTATTCAGCACTTTTTTCCAACATCACAATAAAAGATTATCAAGTCTTCACCTGTCATGCTTATTCAAACACATTTTATTGGTAATTCTAATTCTTATGTAACTAAAATTAAAAAAATCACTATAAAATCAGATAAAAAATTACAGATTAATACATAGACTAGTTGATCTAATAATGGAAAATGAAATACTGTTACAGAGGCTACAACCTGAGTCCAGAACAAATGTTGAGTACCACGAGGGAATTTGGAAAACCTGCAACATATCCTTGATAATTACAATCGATCTGAAAAATATAATTATACAGATAACATCAACAAAAAGGGTAATTAATTTTAAATGAAGATCTCCATTTATATTTGTTTTTATTCATTTAGCCACTTAGTACTTCACTGTCTGACTAACAACCAGCCCACAAATTTGTGTCAAGTAGAAAAAAATACCAGTCTAGGTTATTGAGTGTGGAAGTTCATTCTCATTCCGTACCCACTGGTGATATTTTGAAGGTTTAGTCAGTGTTTCCATGAAGTAAAATATTTTACCTAAACAAGTGAATATGTAAAATAATAACATTCACCTATTTTCATAAAAGTCTACAATAATAAATCTGTAAGAAAAATTTAAGGCTTACCTCAGCCATTAAAGACTTTGAATGTAAGATGTCTGTTTTGTTGTTAGAAGAAACAACAAAATCTGAAGATAAAAATGATCTAGGTAAAAACAACAAAAATATACTTAAGTTGTAAAAATATGGAAAACATTCTTCAATAAATAAATTTTATCTTTACTAAGAAATTACAATAATACTAGCCAATTTGATATATCTTGCCCC